AGCCATAGACTTTGGCTATTCTGGACTTAAGTCTATATAAGGAAAAGCATTCTGACAATGATTGGGCGGCGTGGGGGGGGGGAGACACAGCAAGGATGTGTATTGCAAAACTCGTGCATTGGAAGAAAAAGTTTGCAAATTAGTTCTTCTCTTCCTCCTGCTTAACACCAAAATATTTTGACTCTCCATTTGTTGCAATACAACCTGTGGATACAGATTCAGCATAGCTGTCACTGGGGGATGAAGAACTGTACCCTGCCTTTGTACTCTATCAAGCTGACCTCCCTGAAGCACAGTCCCTATCTCTATCCAGTACAATCAAAAAAGCTACTCTAACGAAGAGGATTATATTAATCTTTTTTTTATTTAAGATGCAGCAAAATAATTTAGATGAAGTGGGAAACGCACTTCCCACTGCAGAGATAACTTGTAATTGCAGTGAAGTAATTTACTTCTGGTAGAGCAGACCAGGAAAAGCACCAAACCACAGGTGGGACAAATGGATGGGCAGCAACAGGGGATTTTTATTGCACTACGCTCTGAGACGTAGATCAGTGCTATTAATTTAAACCTTTTTTTTTAACCTCCAAGGCTGTGATTTAACGTACAATCCTAAGCAGAGTTACATCCATCTAAGACCACTGACTTCAATGGACTTGTGTGTATAAAGTGCTTTCAAATCATAGCTGACTTATCACAACCCTGTAGGGTTTTCAAGGCACGAGACAAATGGAGGTGGTTTGCTATTGCCTGCCTCTGTGCCACAACTCCGGACTTCCTTAGTGGTCTCCCATTAGGGTTGTCGGGTGCTTACCAGCTACTGGTGGGGGGCTCCTGCTCTTTGAGATCACACACGCCATGATGATGTCACCTGGAAGTGACATCATTGCGCCGGGCACATCATACAGGGGATGCGCTAGCATTTGGCCAAAAACTCTATGGTCACCATAGAGTTTTTGGCCAAATGCTAGAGCATCCCCTGCGCATCGTGCCAGGCATGTCAGGCGTGATGGGGCTCTTTGGGGGCAGGGCTCCCCTGCTGGCCAGCTGAGACCCCCAAAAGTGGGGAACCCCCACCCCCATCAGGGGGATAGCAACCCTATCTCCCATCCAAATACTAGCCAGGGCTGACCCTGCTTAGCTTCTGAGATCTGATGAGATCAGGCTAGCCTGGGCCATTCAAGTCAGGGCAATAGACTCAGAGTGTAAACTTTGTTTAAGACTGCACCACCAGAGATGCAATAATGCACAATGGGATTTTACTCAAAAGTTTTATTCAATCTCCACACCATGACACAACCCTGAGCTGCTTTTAAAATATCCTGAATTTTACAAAGACGTTTACAGATTTGGTCTAAACAGGACTGAAAGAGAACTTCTTTTCACAAGCACCCTTTCTTTTCATCCCCACCCTGCATGTGTGTAAATGAACATGGTCACTTGATCACATATGACGCTGCCTTATACTGAATTAGACCTCTGGTCTATTCAAGGTCAGTATGGTCTGCTCTGACTGGCAGCAGCTCTCCAGGATCTCGGGGAGAGGTCTTTCACATCACCCACTATTCTTTTAACTGGAGACTGAATCTGGGACCTTCTGCATGCAAAGCAGAGACACTGCCCCTAAACTATAGTCACTCCCATCCCCAGTCTTTGGGTTACTGCTGCTTCTAAAGGTATTTTTGTAGCCAAAGAGATAAATAAAGAAAATTATGGCTAAGTTACGACTGTCAGCTGCCAAAAACATGTGCATGCGTAAAGTATCAAGAGACAGCAGGTATTGGCCCACTCATTTGGAGACTCTAGAGCCCTCATGGCATATAAAATGGAACAAGGCATCACAAATCTTCCTTCTTTCCCACTACTGCACTTTTACTGAGCTGAGCATATCACTATGTTTCACAATTGTATCACCTTGGCTGAAGAGTCAGAGAAGAAACTGCAACTGGAAACATCGCCTGTTGAACAGTTTAGGGAACGGAAGGAACAGTAGTAAGACTGCAAAAAGAGCTTGTACTTCCATGAAACTAATTTAGGGAACAATCACCTCACCTATATGGGAAGCAATACATTTGTGTATATGTTTATTTATCAATATATAGACATTCTCTACTTTCCCCTAAGCAAGACAAAGACAAATAATAATAAGTGGGTATGTCCCATAAACCTGGAAGAAGATTTTTTCTCTCTGATTTTGGGAGAGAGAGAACAACAGAAGGAAGAGTGATGGCTGTCAGAAGGAAGTTCAAAGTATTCAGAAAAGTCTCCAAAACACAAGGAAAACAAGTTGCCTTTTCAGAAGGCCTCCAAGCCAAGATTGCCCACAAGTTAAAATGAACGTGCCATAGCTAACAAAGCATGGGCAGTGATTGATAAATGCTTATTTTGTTGCACACATACATCAATGTGTTGTTTCCTACACTGCTATAGATACTGCAAACAATATTAAGGTCAAAGAAATCTTGGTGTGTGATTTTTTTTAATACAGTAGAGAAAAATAATTTTATATAGTTAATCATATTGATTAACTGCTATTAAGTAGCTGCAAGTCTAACCTGAGAATCCCTCTCTTTCTTTCTTAATTCCAGACAGTAATCAGAAGTTTCTTGGTAATAAGGTACATCTCTATATTTACCCAGAGGCTATGTAATTGCCTTACATGTTATTGGACTAAGCTATGGATCAAATTAAGTCCAGTTTATATATTTGGCTTGCCCTGGCCTGGATAGCCCAAGCTAGCCTGATCTCACCAGATTTTGGAAGCTAAGCAGGGACGGCTCTTGTCAATGTTTGGATGGGAGACCACCAAGGAATACTTGGGTCACTACACAGAGGCAGGCAATGGCAAACCAACTATGAATGTCTTTTGCCTTGAAAACCCTACGGGGTCGCCATATGTCAGCTGTGCCTTGACAGCAAAAAAGAAAGAAAGAAAGAAAGAAAGAAAGAAAGAAAGAAAGAAAGAAAGAAAGAAAGAAAGAAAGAATAGCTTAGTATTTTCCTGTAAAGTATTGGGTGAGAATTGGGCAAAGGGAGTACATGCACAAATTTTGTTCCTCTTAAGATTTAATTATCACAGCCCCAAATTACATGGTGACAGTGTTTAAAATCTACTCTAAATATATACATACGTGTCAATAGTCCTCCTCCATGTAGTGATCTGAACATTTACTGCTTCCTGATCCCTATATTCAATGAGTTGAGGGCTAATTTAGTCACCCCTTTAATGTGCGAGCCCAGGTGTCACGGCTACTATCAGATGCCAATGGTCGTGTCGCCCTCTCAGTGGCAAAATTCATAGGCGCAATAATCAAATATAAGAGAAATAATACTGAGGTCTTTTAAAATATTTTCTTTGGTTCTAATTTCTGCTTAAGGTGATAGCCCTATGAGCAGTACTAGATAGACAGACAGATACTGCCTCTTGATTTTAAATAGGTGGTAGTGGAAGAAAACAAAAATTACTGTTACGTTATCATATAATACAAGGAAGGAAGGATATGACGACAACAACACATGTTCTAGAACTAAAACACGCACTGTTCAGTATGATAAGCATATTAATTGAAATTAGTCACATAGCTAACAGATGCCGAAGGAATGCCGGATCATTTCCATTATTTTTTTTTGCCTTTCAGCCTCATGAATGTAAAATGTGCTTGTAATCTTAATACTACTCCACAGACAGAGCATGTCTTTAAAAACGGTACTTCACAAGACTCTAGGGAAAATAAGATCCTAATGAATGGTATTTACAGTTGCTTCATTTACACACACTCTCATTTGCTTTTCAGAAGTTACTACATAAATGGAAGTGATTAGGGTAATGTAGGCTGTTATCTCCTTCTTAATCAATCTGACTTTTGGTTTAAAAGTAAATCTGGAAGTCCAGCCAAGCCTTTCAGAAATGCTATCATCTAAATCATTCTTTTAAGACTACAGCTTCAAGTCCAGTTAGGTTCAGGAGAATACTACTGATGCTAGCAGGGAGTTGTCATGAGGGTACAGAATTGCAAGGTACATATGTTGCATGTTAATTCATGCAAGTAAAGTAACTTAAGATGCATTCTCTGGTTTTCCATTGACAATAACTGGAGGTGGATTGTTCTTGTGGTTATGCACTCTGCGTGTGGCAAAACTATAGGCCTTTGAAGTGGTCGAGAAGCAGTGAAAAAGAAGGGTGAAGACACCTCCCTTTGGCACTGACAGCCACAGAAACAGTTGTTAGTTATATCCATGATTCTTGTACAGAGACACCAAACAGACAAAGGAAATTAGTAGATTAAAATACTTTATAGGAAATTTTAACTGAGTAAAGTACACATTATTATGCAGTTTATTTTTTATGAATTGTATATGTTTATAAAACACACTACAGTGGCTTACCTGTTTGTACATATATAAATGGCTGTCCCACCCATATCACAGAATACTAAATATTTTCTTTACGTTTTTCTGCCAGGAATATAAAAACCAACAACTCTTTTGTTTTCATTCCATTGTGCTGTGAGCTCTAGCTGCTTAACAACAGAAAAAAATATGTATCTAAAAGACCCCCTAAAAGGGGAAAAAAATAATGTATGTGTGTGTGGGAGAGATCTGCTTTCCCTTTAAAGCCATGAACAATAGAAGGTCATGTGACACAGTATCCTATCATTCAGCACATTAATAGCTGTGCTAGAGTAATTACACTTGTGGTATTTTTGCCTCAAGTGAAATTCTGAAATAAGAGGATGGAAATTATGATACTGCTGATAAATATTAATAAGTGAACTTTTAATTTTTTTGCCACAATATTCAAAATGCTAAGCATCTAGCTAATGCTGAAGCAGCCTGATATGTGTTTGCCTCCAGGGACCATGATGCTTTATGCACTTAAGAAAAAAGTTTAACGGAATTAAAATTTAATATCTAATTAGAGCAAGGCTAATATATTTTGAAACGAGTTGGGGAAGACACACACGCCTATGTGGCATATTTGCCACGCTCATTAATCTTACCTGTAAAGCAGCACTGAGAGGTGAGCAGTAGGTGTGGCTGGTCTGCATGTTTTTAATAAGTGAAGGGCTTCTGTACAAGGAAGACATACAAAGGGAAAAAAAGAGTAAAGTTAAATGCAGACAACTCTTGAACTTCAAGAAGGTCAGGCTTTCTCCCTCACTGGGGGGGGGGGGATGTTTACTTTTTTGTCCCCAACCTTTAAAAAGGTCTTCTATAGCTACTTTAATCAGCCTGAATCTTCACTGTAGTCCTCTTTGACTGTACCTGAACTCTAAAAAGTGACTGCCTCTTTCGATGTCCAAGATGTCCGAAGTGCTGTTTAGACAGGGTTGCAACCCTCTGAGCTGCTGAGCCAGGAGAATGTTTAAAGACCCCACCCATGAAGAAAGTAGCCAATCACGTTTGCCTTTCCCATGGAATGGGCAAAGAATGAGAGCAAGGCTAATGAACCTGGAGGTACCAATTCCATGGGCTAGATCCCCATCAGTGTGAGTGGGTCATTTCAGCATTGTCACAGCTGCACAAGAGTTGTTCACAGGTCAGTATTCCCACACAAGTGGTAAAAAGTCCAGCAGCTATTTTATTCCCTCCTTCCCTCCATCTCTTTGCCATCTTTTCCTCCTTTCCTTTTCTTTCCCTCCTTTTCTTTCTCTCTTTCTCCTTCTTTCCTTCTCTCTCTTTCTCTTTCTTTCCCTCCTTCTTCCCTTCTCTCTCTTTCCTTCTTTCCCTTCTTCTTCTCTTCTCTCTTTCTTTCCCACCTTCTTCTCTTCTCTTTTTTCCTCCTTTCCCTTCTTTTTCCCTTCTCTCTCTTTCTTTCCATCCTTCTTTCCTTCTCTTTCTTTCCCTCTTTACTTTTCTTCCTTCTTTCCTTCTCTTTCCTTCCTTCTTTCCTTCTCTCTACTCCCTCTCTTTCCTTTCCTCTTTCCTCCTTTTGTGGCCCAACTCTCTTCGCTCCCCCCACCCCGCAGGCCAGCTGGGGAAGGGAAGGGGAGGCTTTTGAAGATGCCTTCCCCCCCCTTTGCTTCCCCTTCTGACATCACTTCTGGTGATGTCAGGGGGCGTGGCATATGCTAATAGCCTAGTAGCTCATTAGCATACTGTATGCTAATGAGCTCCTGCAGGTCTTTTTCTACGAAAAGACCCCTGGAAGCAGCCATCCTGGCTGGCTGTGTAGCACGAAAACAGTGGATATCTTCTACACCTTCTAGTCCATGTGAGTGATCGAGGACCTGCTGTCCTATATGAAATATTGTTCTTACAGGCATGCCTTCTGTTTGGAACGATTCAATACTAGCATCTTGTATAGAATGATGACATTTCACAGAGAGCAGGTAAACTATGCTGTGTCTGCATTGTAAGTGGCTGAATGACTGAATCACATCAGATGCAGACAGACAACAGGGATTATGTACTTCCAACAGAGTTTGCCTAAAAACAGAGAATGCAAGAACAATATATCATTCAGAGAAGCAGCGGGCAGTCTCCTCTGTGGATGGGAGCTCTGGGCTCATACTAGTGCAAACAGTTTGAAAATTATGAACCCAGTAAAATTGGTTACCAAGTTTTTTTTCCCTTATGGTAGGGAGAGATGCTGCTGGATCAGTTGCTTAGCAACAAACCCAGCAGTGGCCAGAAAGAAGAAGGGTTTCTGGCTCCTTTGAGTACCCCTTTTTGGATTAGTTACCTCTTAAACTACTTCAACCACCTTTTTTACATTAATAACCTGGGTAGTTTAAATAGTGTTAAAAGTGGGTCCCCCTCTCCCTCTTTCTACTCTATACAAGCAACTGAAGGCCAGTTCATGAACTAGAGAGAATCTGGATGACCAGAAGTGTAAGTCACTGGATTCTCTGCAATTTACATATTAGCCCTAAGAAAAAGTTAGATCCTCCAGACAATGTCTACAAATGGAATAGGCAAAAAAATTTTCCCTTCCCCACTTCTGTTAGTGGAAATTTTCACTGGATTCAACCCAGTGGATGATATTTAATCTAGGGTAAGAACAAAAAGATAATCAGCATCATTATTGGATTTATACCCTGCCCTCCCCGCTGAAGCAGGGTCAGGGCGGCTTACATAAAACTGTTAAAGCAACTTGCATGTATGGCACTGCTTCCTACTTCAGTGTAGATCAACCAACATGGCTTTCTGGAAGAAGAAAATGGCCTTATCTAAATGTAGGGCTGGTTGACCGAGCCAGCTTTTTAGCAGGTGAAAAAGGAATGAATGGTCTCTCTTTGAAAACCAAAAAATGCTAAGCTGGGCCTCATGGGACCTGCATAAACAAAAATTATGTGGGATGGGGGCTATAGAAAGGAAGGGGATTTGCCAGGTTTGAGTGAAAAATCTGGTTGGATCCAACCCAATATGAGACCAAATACACTGTAAGTAGTGTAGCACACTTCCTTCAGTGTCAACATTCTCCCCCCCCCATGAGTAAACAGTTGGCCAGTAGCAGCACCTGGTAGGCCGCACCTGTTCACAACTTCTCTCTGGACCACCCGTAACAGTGCTTGCTGAAAATTCTTAGTGACAGCCCAAGCACAGGCTAGGGTTGCCAGCTCCATGTTGGGAAATTCCTGGAGATTTGGGGGTGGAGTCTGGGGAGGGGAGGAAGTTTAGCGGAGTATAATGCCACAGAGTCCACTCTCCAAAGCAGCCTTTTCTTCAGGGGAACTGACCTCTGTAGTCTGGAGACCAAGTTGTGATTACAGGGGGCCTCCAAGTCCCATCTCGGGCTTGGTAACCTCATATTTTTGAACCAAGACTGTGGAACAAGGAAAGTGTCATAAAATGCCTGACTGGGGTGTGGGGAGATGGTCACTCATTATTTATTGAAATTATGTCTCACTCTTGTTTTTAGGGTTTTCTTTGTTTATTTAATATATTTAATATAATAGATATATTGAACTTTAAATATGCATTTTAAAAAACTTCTATACTGCCTTTCTCCACAACATGCAAACTCGTGTTTTCTACATCTAGCTGTAATTTCTAAAATATTGCCTGCACTATATACCATTCTGGGATCTGGCAACAATGTACTGATGTCAAAACAGATTTGCTTTTTCTTTAAAGTTGTTGAAAGCAGCAATTTAACTTTGTATGCAGAGTACAGAGAAACAAGAACAGTTCAAATTATCAATATGAAATCATCTTGCTAATTGGTTCTACAGCATTACCTAGTAGCATTAAAAAAAGAACACATATTCCTGCATTTGATGACAATATCACCATAAGTATACCAGAAAGCGTTAGCTGGGCATTTGCAAGAGAAAGCACAACAATGCGTGTACAGCCATGACATTTAAGGGAAAGATTGTTTTTTTGCAGCAAGGGGCAATGCTTCTATTTTGTGAAATGCAAGTCTACATGAAATGGATAACTCATGCAAAGCAAAAGCAACAGAAACAAACAAACAAAAAGTGCACACACACCCACACGCCCATACAAAGCAAGTAAAAGCTCTTACTGTGTAACAAGCTTGCCAAACTTTTCATCAGGGCAGATTTTTCGAGGACGGCCTCGTTGAATATGACGGCCACGTTTAAACTCTTCATCATCAACAGTCCAAAAGGACCCAAACTCATCCTCTACTCTGATAAAGCACTTATGCAGGGATAGGTTGGTGCGAATAGCACCCTGGGATAAGATCAGCAGCAAAGGAGATGAAGTGGAAACAACGGGACACGGGATCGGGGGAATAGAACAGACATCAAATAACAGGGAAAAGGAAAAAGAAAATAAAATGCAATAAGCATAAGCAAATGGATTGTGAGGGTTAATATGCATTGCCACCTAAGAGCTACTAGCATGTGATGCAAAACAAACACCAAGCAAGCAAGGGCGAAGGGGACCAGTGGGCATACAAACGGTAGTGATGAGATGCTCTCTGTTGTTTCCCTTGACTGAAGCAAGGTGAAACTACCTGGATTGATCTACAACACCATCTAGCAGCCAAAGCCTCTATGTTAAAACTGTAAGCACGATCCAAGCTAGGCTAAGAAGTTCAAACATGGTGGACATACCCACTGATCTTTTGTGGCCTTCGTTTTTGGAATTCTACTTCATCCACTGTCCATACTGCCCCTTTAACGTTTTCTACTCGCACAAAACACTTGTGAAGACTAAGATTATGACGCACTGCATTCTGCAGCAAGTATAAAAGAGAAAACATTGAAAAAAATACTTTCCATGAGAAAAAAAGAGACTTAGTATTGTCCATGAACAGCAGCAAAGTCAGCCGATGTCTCCCTTCCACCACCCACCACCCCACTGGACTATCATATTTTCAGTGTTCAAGACTGGCAAAATAAATATGGTTTAAAATAGTCTCAGAGTTCTTTTGGGAACCATGCTTTTTTCCCCATCAAAAATAATAATTCAACCTCAGTAAGGGGGGAAAAAACCCAGTTACCATTTTACACACACGTGTTACTCATGGGCACGTATCAAGCCAGTCACAACAAGTACTTTCAGAACCAATGGATTTATTTGTACCAACACAAGCTTGTCTTCTGCAAAAGGGAAGGCAGGCAACAAGGCCACTGAAAAATAATTTTGTGCAACTAACAGAGGTCTGAATTTTGCAAAAACAATTATATTTTCATGGTCTCAAGGGAAAAAAAGTCACAAGTTATTCCTATATTACATTAACAACAACATATTACAGAGAGTAGGAAAATGTTTGACATGTCTGGTATAATTTTCATATTCACATCTTTCACTGAATGTTCCACCATGGAAGGTGCCTTTCATTCTTGGTTCCTGGTTAAATGTCCATCTGTTAGGTCTATGAAGCAGAGTCAAACATATTCACACAATCCATCACCGCTAGTGGCATAGATGTTGCTGTGATCATAACAATTATCCATCCAGTAATGTTTTTGATGGCCTCACTAGATTAATCAAACCATAATACAGGCACAGTTTGCATTTTCTTTAATAGTTTTACAACAGTACTGTAGTAAAACATGTCCCTGCTTGTACTGTCCACAACAGTAGAGTAAATGTATTTGTAGGGGGAAGGAAGGAAGGAATAGGGTGGGGAGACAGAAAGAGAGACAGAAAGAGAGAGAGAGACAGAGAGAGAGAGATCCTCCCCTCATCATCTCCTGACACTGCCTGTTCCTGGCTCCTTGGCGAAGGCAAGCTGGATACTTCTGTGCTGTGCATCCAAGCTGCTTTCTCCTGGCAGTCAGGGAAGACAATGGCAGATCTCTGTTCCAACATTTCCTTCACTGGAGAGGCTAGCCTCAGTTGACCTTAGTCAAACATTGAAAAAAGCCTGTCCTAAGGGGTATCGTCACTAGTAACCACTGCAGATTGTAAGCTGGAAATGCCTAGGTCAGCAACTTGTCCCTAACATCAGTCAACTGTAAGACTAGTTTCTGCAGGCATGATGCCAGGTAAATATATGGATGGAAATGTAAGACTAAGCATCTTGTTCAGGAAACTTGGGTGCGTGAGTGTATCCATCTAATAGAAAAGATATTCTATGTATGCCTAAATTTACTGTGCAAACCAATGTTGGGCATAACACATTTATCATATTAATTAAGCAGCCAAGGGAGGTCTGAGCGGTGTGTGTGTGTGTGTGTGTGTGTGTGTGTGGAATCCTTCCGTACTGCAGTATCTCTGAGTTACTAATTTTCTAACCTTCCTTATAAATCCATTCCCTCACAAGATGCCAGAAAATCTTATATCCAAATAAAGGAGTACATGTGTTTTGGTCAGGCAGAAAATTAATATCTCGTTAAAAGAATTCTGCAGTCACATGTGAAAACTGATGAAGAACGGCTTTGGGACTGAGTTCCCCATTCCCCCAGTTGGCATAGGCATGTGAAAATCCTGGCCAAGGAATGAGATTTTCCCCACCCTACTTCTGGCCCATAATTTCAGTACATGTGGCTCTATGGTTATTAAAGACATCCACAAGACTAGTATCTGGTGCATGACAGGAGCAGAGATATGTAATACATGAGGGCCAGTCAATCCAGACAGTCCCTTAATGAACAGTGGTGGGGGCACATAGCCCTTCCACAAATACTGCTCTGCACTCATTTGGGGGGGGGGGGGCTCCTGTCTGTTTGTGAGCAGCAGGGAATTCTCATTCATGAAGCTGCACTCACAGGAAGTAGAGAGGAGGCTATGGTGAGCAAGTGGATTGGTTCCATGGAATTTTAATTATAATAAATGTTATTTTCAAGTTGCATAGAGAGGGAAAACATTCATCTGCATCATATTCCTGAATTGACTGAGAATGTCAGAGGTGCTTAGGGCTCTTAATCTCCTCTCATGGTGTTTCTGTCAGCCACAGAGGGAAAGATTTCCCTCTCTAGCAAAGAATGACCAAGGGCAATTATTTGCAGTAGGTACAGACATAGCCATTAAGGGTCAACGTGCAATTATCGGGGGGGACCCCATCCGAAGATGATTTTATGAAATCTGACCCACTCACCCCTTTTGTAAGAGAAGGGAAACATGGCGTTCTGCCCATGGGAAACAGACACAAAACAAGTCTACTGGTTCTGGATAAGATTGGGGGGGGGGTATCTGAAAAGATCTTATTTGTTAACATTACAAGAAAGCACTAAATCTGTTTTCTATGGGCTAAAGATTATCTTTATGCTTTCTGGCTGACAGGCAGATAGTGGTATTGGACAATGTGTTGCAAGAGATGCTGTACATTTCAACAACACCTTGAATACCTTTATAGAGCTAAGTGCTACGTAACAACCTCTAAAGAGCTGTGACTGAGACAGGGCTGCCAATCCTGAGTTGGGGAATTCCTGGTTCTTTTGGGGGTGGAGCCTGGGGAGGATGGGGTCTGGGGAGGGAAGGGACCTTAGCAGGGTATAATGCCATTGGGTCCACCTTCCACAGCAGCCATTTTCTCCAGGGGAGCTGATCTCTGTCACCTGGAGATCAGTTGTAATTGTGGGGGATCTCCAGCCACCACCTGGAGGCAGGCAGCCTTAGACAGGGATGTTTTTTGGAGCAGGCACACAGGCAGAGGAGAACAGAAATGTTTGGAGGGCTGACTCCTTGTCTGCCCCAACTGATCGCTGAGATGCACATGGGTGCCTGCATTGCTACAGCACTGGAAACTAGGGAGGTCCATCAGTGGCTATTAGCCACAAGGTATAGATAGGGACTCTGGGGCAAGTGATGCTCTGTCATCTTGGTGCTTGGGGGGGGGGGTCAACAGTGGGAGGGCTTCTAATGTCCTGGCCCCACTGCTGGACCTCCTGATGGCACTAGTATTTCTGGCCACTGTGTGATACAGAGTGTTGGACTGGATGGGCCTTTGGCATGATCCAACATTGGCATCTCTTATGTTCTTAGGGATGATGGAGGCAGGCGAACTCAGTGATGATGGTGGGTTGTTATTGACTAGACAGCTGCTGCACATTTGAAATTTTAAATCTTTACTCTTTCTAAACTTAAGGTATGGCAGGATGATTAGAAATCTTAATATCAGGCTGCATGGACTGAACAACTAGCAGTGCAGACTCCTGGATGAACAAGAGAGAGGGCTGGGTTGTGTGGATTAAAGATGGCGGGGAACAACGCTGGTGATGAGAAATTTTTTTAAATGATTTTTTTTTTCTCTCTTCGGGAGGAAGGAAGTGGATGGACCAAGTCACTGTTAAGAGATCAGTGAGGGACGGGTGGAAATCTGTAAGCAAATGATCAACTGGGAGTTTGGGGCTCAGACCCTACCTCTGCCTTGCACTCAGACAGATTTGTGGTCTTGGGCACATCATCTATCTTCACTTGTCAGTATTCTCTTTCTGACAATGGGAAGGCAAAAGCACTGCAGAGGTGTACATAAGGACAACAGCACACCCTTACAAGACCCAGCACCTGGTTATCGGAGTTATGCTGCCATGCACAAACCCAAGAGTAAAATCTTTACAAGGTTAGACTTTGGGTTATGATAGAATGGCCCCACTGGTGGACCTCCTGATGGCAACTGGGTTTTGGCCACTGTGTGACACAGAGTGTTGGACTGGATGGGGCACTGGCCGGGTCCAACATGGCTTCTCTTGTGTTCTTATAGAATGCTGATAGGTGACTATTTCCAGGTTTAAACTGGAGGTGGAAGATTCCAACTAGGTAGAGCCTCTAGAACACTCTTGAAAGTGTCAGGAAGTGAAAGCATGGGACAGGATTTTCTCTTGTTCTCTGGCTGGGTGTCTTGCCACCAACAAAGCCTGGGGGAAATTTATTTGTGAACAGGTATGAAGAAGAGTTGGGTTTTATACTCCGTTTTTCTCTACCCTAAGGAGTCTCAAAGTGGCTTACAGTCTCCTTCCCTTTCTCTCCTCACAACAGTCACCCTGTGAGGTGGGTGGGGCTGAGAGAGTTCTGAGAGAACTGTGACTGGCCTAAGAACTGTGACAGGCTTCATGTGGAGGAGTGGGGAATCAAACCTGATTCTCCAGTTTATATGCTGCTCTTAACCAATACACCACACTGGTTCTCATGAGGCCAATACTGAAGATCAAACAAGCATGTCACATGTGCTGTTGAGGAACTAGCTTCCCAAGCATGCCAAGGCCCAATTTGGTTCAGGAGCACAGTGCAGGGAAAGGAGGGGCTTCAGTCTTTCTGAGCTGGAATGGCCACGGACGGGGGACTCCATTTGACCTACTGAGTGTCCGTACATGTAGTGACCCAACTCACGTCAAACATATTGTCTAGTTTGGCTTTGAATCCTAGACCATGCATACATTAGCCAATGCTAAATCTTGTGGGTCGAAGTCAAGAACAGCTCAGGGTGTGAGTGTGCAGCTGAGCTGTGGAGGAGCCCAAATAGTGTGTGTGCGGGGGAAAGAAATGTGAATACTTATCAGGCTTAAATAAACATGGTACAGAAGGCAATGAAGATTTTATGCATGTGTGTGTTGCCTTTGTATCCTGCCCAATAAATTCAGTGGTGTTTCACAACAAGCCTATAAGGGCAGGCCAAGGTAAAAAAAAAAAATGACTTGACCAAGTAAAGTCAGGGAGTTTCTTGGTGGTGGTGGTCATTTGGGTCTTTAAAAAAAATGGTCCTATATGACATTTTGAGAAATTTTCATTGGGAAGGTGGCTAACAAATACCATACACAAAGAAGCAAAGACCAGAGTGGGGATTTCAACAGGGCTCTTCCATATCCAAGGCCAATAATATAGTCCTTGCTCCACCCACAGGTAGTGATTGTGTGACTTGTTCAGTAGAAGCTTCACTGGCTATTAAATCCACAGATGTGATCCAAAGGAGAGCACACCTAATTGAGAGGGGTGGGGTGCAGTTTCCCCTTTCAAAAAGGTTCCCTGATGGAAATTCCAAGTTTCTTTTCAAAAGAGCATTATGGCTGAAAAGGCTGCTTGCGTATTTGGCATGAGAGCTTTTTAAAAGACAATTAAGAACACAGCTAACGTGCACCAGTGGCATTTCTCTCTGAAAGAGCACTCATGCCAACCACCCAAACTGCCTTTTCAACCATGATGGGGGCAAGAAACTTTTAAAAAAGCCATTTGGAGACTTTTTATGAAGGGGGATTATAAATATCATTTTGGGCTTTCTGTGGGGACAGGTTCTTAGAAGGAAACTCTGCTAAAATATTCAGGTACCATGTGTGCCACTTTGGACTGCAGCCATTTTAAAAAGAAAGGAAAATTCTACAGAATTTATAACACACACTGAAATTAACTAAGCGCAGCCAAACTATTGAAATTTAAAGCACTAGGGGTATTTTGTTAAATTGCTAGATTTAATATTTTTATTGGCTTGCATCTTTACTGCTGTGCCCAATTAACCTGTATTGTGTTTCATAATACACCAGCGAATGTTTTGAGAAGTTGGCATGTTAATTTAAGGCAGGTGTATCAGCTGGCTTAAAAGCTAGTTTTCTATGAATTCTTGGGGGAAAAGAGTGCGCTTTCCAGCTCTAAGACAGTGCGTGTGTACATAAAGCCACCATCTGATAAAGCTTCTTCCATCACCCTTTCCCTCTGTACCTTAACAGTTGAAACATTTCAGTGCTATGAACAACTACAACAGAAAAAAGCCTGGTAGTTTAATCACAGAATGTGGAGGGGAAAAAATGAAAACAGTAATAGGCATTCAAATTGGTGGTATTTCAAAGGCAGGAGGACATTTTGCTGCCAAACAGCAAGTTGTTTGTGCAGATAAGAGGCACCCTGTGTGTGTCAAAACAACTGATCTAAATTTCAAAGTCCGCACACTGTTACAATTGCTTATGTCCACAGCGCTGTCAGCTCTGTACATATCAGATGCTAAAGCAATAGGCGTACATAGTAATATAGTATACCTTCCACGTGGCTGCATTCCGTCTGAAGTAGGCAAACATCCGCGTGAACCAGTTATAGATTTCATTTAGTGTTAGCTGCTTTTCTGGAGATTCAAGAATGGCCTGAAAAGTGATTAAAATAAAACAATGCTCTTAAGACTAAAGGAAGAAAAACAACAACAAAAACATACAAATAACTCACACAATTTTTTGAATAAATTTTTAAAAATGTAATTCAAAGCGCAAAATCCAAAGGAAGTCTTCATGCTCCGATCTAAGATTAATGGTTGTATTTAATAGTTCAATGGCAAAATTCAAAATGGAATTATCTAATTGTTTTGAGTTTTATTTCTGTTTCCTTACAGAAATATTAATTTATTAGTCATTCATAAAGCAGAATCAAAGAGAAATGCAAAACATTTCACTAGCTGATTAAAGCTTAGTAATTATTTTGAGCTCAGATTAATTCTAGGGATCAGAGATTACTGTAGCTTGTGATAATTGACTTGCCATCTTTAAACAGGCTCATTTTCAGTGTTGTGTGAAATGAATTTCCTAATAATCACATCGTATTGTAATACTTAATCAAAAGCAATTATGGTATATGTATTGCAGTTGTGGGGAAAAAGAAAGAAAACCTTATAGCAAAGGCTTCAGTATGCCTGCATGTGAAAGGGTTTTGCTCTCTTCACTCTATAGAACGCCACACATACATTTACAATGCTAGAAGTCAAGCCAGCTGTTCAGGATGGTCTCACTTACCTGCCTAATTAAGGATGCATACGTAAAGGGCGGCCTAACCTCTGCATTCTTGTAGAATTCTTGGTTCTGCGCAATATCTGCTAAATGAAAGTACCAGAATCCTTGTATTACCGTGGCCAGCAATTCATGCAAAAAACACACACACACAAGAACACCTAGTCTTTTGGCCTGTATATCCAGCAAGTTACCTGAAGAGATGGGCACGTTATATTTGTCAGAGTACCGCCTTCGGATAGGCCCCACGTTGTGGATGCTTGTAGTAGTGATGACAGAAGGCCCCTGGCTGACCGGAGTGATGGGCGCTGTTGGGGTGGTCGGGGTATGAGGTAAGCTCTGTGGAGAAGCCTCTGACGCAGTCTTTGAAAGTGTGACGCTAGATACGAGGTTTAGCTATGAAAATGGGAAAAGCAAATTTAATTTAAAAAAAAAAACACCAACATTTCTCACAAATTCTTCCTGTATGCTGTAGCGGTTAAGAGTATGAACTGTAGTCTTGGATTCCCCAAGTTCAAATGTCACCTGGCCCATGGCCTTAGACATGCTATTATCTCCCAAGTTCAACTTGCATTATGTGTAAAATGAAGTTGACCATCTTTACAGGGATATTGAAATAATATATGGATTGGAAGTGATTTCAGCTTTAATTATAATAATGGTTAGTGTTTATATAAAGTACATGGTAATATTTTATTAATTTCTTCTGTTCTACTCTTAAACACAAAGAGAAGAATTTCTTTAGCTTTTAAATAAGACTTTGCATTCTCTAGAACAGGAGTTCTTAACCATTTTGGGGTCATGGTCCGTTTTGAGATTCTGGTGAAAGCTATAGACCCCAACCCCAGAAAAAATGTCATAGTGAGACAATGATGATGATTGTACATTACCTGAACATGTATAGTAGTATCCTATGCCCTCCTACATTTGTTTGGAGTGAAACATTACCGTAATAACGTAATTAAGAATGTTTTTCACAAAGACCATTTAAAAAGTAACTTGAAGGAAATACAATTTAAAAAATCATGTTTTGTGCGTGGTTCATGGATTCCCTGAAGCCCGTCTGTGGACTCCAAGGGTCCATGGACCCCAGGTTAAGAACCCCTGCTCTAGAAGAATCTACTTCAAATACACCAACATACAACAGATCAGGTTGCATTTTATTAAAGAGAAAAACAGGTTGCCTACCTGTAACTGATGATCTTTGAGTGGTCATCTATGCACTCACACCTATGGATTAGGCATCTGCACTGACTCCGATTCGGGAAACTTCTATCAAGCTCGAAAGGATTCAGAGCCCCACCTCTGAGCATGCATAGAAGCTCCAACCATGCATGCCTAGAGGGCGGAGCACCAGTATCCCACCAGTTCCTTCTGACCACTGCCAAATCCACAGAAAATGAACCGAAGAAGCTAACAGCAGAGAGGAAGGGAGGGCGGGTGGTGTGAATGCATAGATGATCACTTGAAGATCATCAGTTACAGGTAGGCAACCTGTTTATTTTCATTGTGGTCTATATGCATCACACCTATGGGAGAATAACAAGCTTAGGCCTACCCTGGAGGAGGGCGCTGGCAGCATCTCAAGAGACCACAGATTGCAGGATTGATCAACCCATGATGGAACAACGTTGTGCACGTACACCCACAGTGTAATGCTTGATAAATGTGTTAGGAGTGGCCCAGGAAGCTGCCTGGCAGATGTCTTGAAGGGACACCCTCTTGAGGAAGGCCGTGGACGTCAACAGTGCACGTGTAGAGTGGGCCTGAGGCCAGACAGGCAGAGGCCTTTTATCCAGAAGGTAGCACAGTTTTATGGTCTCGACAATCCACTTGGATAGCCGTTGAGAGGATATCTTTTGGCCCAAAGTGTGCGTCACATAAGACAAGAACAAGTGCAGATCCTTGCGGATTTTGCGTGTTCTATCCAGGTAGAATAGGAGCGCCCACTTGACATCCACCATGTGCCATAGATGCTCAATGTCCAAAGACGGGTTTGGAAAAAAGTCAGGCAGAATAACTTGCTTCTGTAAGTGGAACTCAGAAACCACCTTAGGTAAGAAGGTGATATCTGGAGTCAATGCTACACCATCCACTAGGAATTACAAGTATGGAGCATCATGCCTGAAAGCTTGGAGGTCACTGACTCTACCAGTTAATGTAACCACCACTAGAAAGGCCGTCTTCCAAGATAGGAACTTGAGCTCGCAAGTAGCCATGGGTTCAAAAGCTTGCCTGTAAGTTTACGTAATATGGTGGGCAAGTCCCAGGTCTGTACTGGTTGCTTAACCAGTGGGTAGAGATGCAGTAGACCCCTCAGGAATCTCTTGGATGGGAAAAAATCAAAGTGTTATCCAGTCTCCTATGGAAGGCTGAAATCGCCGCCAGATAGACTCTGAACATAGAGTGACTAAATCCAGCTTCCACAAGGGAAAGAATAAAATCAAAGATGCAGGAAAGGCCAACAGAGGTGGGATCGCCCTCATAAGACTGAAGGCAAGTGAGGAACTTGGCCCATTTATAACTATAAGAAGGAGTGGAAGGCTTCCTGCTGTTTAGGAGAACCCTCTGAACTCCACTTAAAAACCCTTGCCTATCCTCCAGGCCGTATGTTTGAGGTGTGGGACACTGTGATTAAATACCTGGCTGTCTGCTGTCAGGAGTAAATCCCTTGCACGCAGGAAATGTAGGAAGACCCTGTTGGAGAGGCGTAGGAGCAGTGGGAACCATGGTTGCCTTGGCCACCAGGGAGTCATCAGAATGCAGTTTGGCTTGTATCGCAGTACCCTAGTGAGGAGAGGAATAGGTGGGAAAAGGAAAAGCGATTGTCCCCTACAGGGGATCAGGAAATGGTCCCCTAGTAAAAGAGGGTCTGACCCTCCCCTGCAGCAGAATTGGGCACACTTCTAATTCCATCTTGTGGTGAAAACATCGACCTGTGGTCGGCCCCACTGTTGGAAAATGGAATATAGGTATTTCCAGTTCAGTTCCCATTCATGCAGCTGTGCTGCGCCCCTGCTGAGAACATCTGCTTGGCTGTTCTGCATGCCCAGAATATATGTAGCAAATATCCAGATCTTGTGAATGAGACACCAGTCCCACAGGCTGACAGCCAAGCGACAAAGGTGGCATGACATCATCCCGCCTTGTTTGTTGCTAAGCCATCGTTGTAGTGTTGTCTGTCAACACCATCACAGCCTGCCCTTCTAGCATTGGTAAGGAGGATTGGAAAGCATATTGGACTGCCAGGAGTTCCAAATAGTTGATGTGGGAGCCCTTCAGATGCACTTCCCATGGGGCTCCTACACAAAGACCACTGAGGTGTGCCCCCCAGCCCCTCAGCGAGAAGTCTGTGGCGAGCATCATGGTGGGTTGAGGAGGATGGAGGGGGGCCTCTGTGGAGAGGTTGCTGGTGTTCTCCCACCACAGAAGAGAATTCCATACACTTGGTGGTAACCGAAGAAGCTTGGACTGTGGATGTCTGGAAGGTATGAAAGTCCGTACAAACCAAAATTGTAAGGGCCTCATGCAAAGCTTCACCAGTGGCAGGACACTTGTCATAGCTGCCATGAGTCCCAACAATCTCTGAAGGTCAAGGACGAAAACCACGGGTGATGTCCAGAGGGAGCACATCAGGGATGTCAGGGAGAAACGCACTGCTGACAGTAGAATCAATAGTTGCTCCTATAATGTTCACCCTTTGGGAGGGTGTCAGGCATGACCTCTTGTGGTTGACACAAAGGCCCAACTCCTGAAGGAGGGTCAAAGTCTGCTGAACACTGTTCAGCAAGAGTCTTTTGGACTGCGCTACCACAAGTCAATCATTGATGTAGGGAAAAATCACCACACCTTGAAGTCTCATGTGAGCTGTCACTGCCACCATAGTCTTTGTGAAGACCCTGGGCACCATCAAGAGTCCGAATAGTAGGGCCGTATATTGATATTGAGACCCCTATAGTAAAATGAAGGAAATTCCTGTGGGGAGGAAAAAATATCTATGTGGAAATAGGTGCCTTGTAGGTCGATGGTGGCCCCTAGTTACAGGAGGGAAAGGATGTTTTGGAGAGATGTCATTCTGAACTTGCAGTATATGATGAATTCATTGAGGACCCTGAGATCTAGAATGGGACGAAGGCCTCCATCCTTTTTCGGAACTGTGAAGTACTGAGAGTAGAACCCCTTTTCCCTCTCTGCAGGGGGAACCGCCTCTATGGCTCTCTCTTCTAACAGTCGTAGAACTTCCTGACGGAGGGCCAACAATGTCACTGTCCGAATGAAGACAGGAGTGGGAGGCATCTGAACCCATTCTATTGAGTAGCCCTTGGTGACGATGGAGAGCACCCAGGCACCCTTGGCTCCATGCGGGGTAAAAGGAGCCAAGATGGGTGGCCCAGAGCAATAGGGGGGGGCAAGAGGGAGGGGTCAGCAGCTGGCGGCTGATGTGAGAGTTGAGCTTGTTTTGGTGAGGGCCATGATGGAACTTGGGTTTCTGGGAATAGGTGGATCTGGAAGAAGACTGAAGTGTCTAGATTTCCAAGAGTCCTCTGGAGACTGTCTGCTATATGTTCTCCTGTTGTTTCTGATCCAGGTCTTGGAACCTTGGGACTGGTATGAGGGGGAGACACCCAAACTTCGAGATGCCTTGGGACTCTTGTCCATCTCTTGCAGGACCGAGTTGGTGGTGGCTTGAAAGAGACCCTGACCATCAAATGGTAAGTCCTCAATAAAGGCTCGGGTGTCTGTCTGAAGAGAGGTGGTGCGAAGCCAGGAGTGATGGCAGAGGGCCACGGTGGAGGACATGGTCTTGGAGCTAGTGGGCACTATAGAGGTACTGAAGCCACCTGTGATCCCATGGTAACATCACGGAGGGTTGCGGAATGGTGAAAGCCACTGGAGGTTGATCGCAAAGCAACTGACCACGGGACCATGCAGAAAGGCTGCTCCGATGGGAGGAAGAGTGGGTCTGCCTATGCCTTGACTTGTGTCAGTGTCAATGACCGGTATCGATGGGCGACCAGGAGTGAGACTGTTCAGACAATGAGGATCTTGAGCTCCGATGGGATGGTAATTGATGGAATGGTATCTCCTCCACTTCCAATCCCAAAAAAGAGAGACCTCTCAGTATCGATCTACGCGCCAGGGAGCCTGGCCATCGAATACGCGAGTCCAGCAGCTTAACAGGTGGTATTTGCAGAACCGTCGACAAATCCAGCGAGGAAGAGCAGGGCAGGGGAGTATCAGCCTGCACATTGGCGCTCTGTGCTGTGGTCACTGTAGTGAGCTTCGAGCCTGTCTTCAGGTGCTTGTGTTTCACCTTAGTATGGACCTTTGCCTCCTCCTTCTTCTTAGAAGCCAGTGTCGAGGGTATCGAAGGGGTTGGCGAGGTAGACGGCTTA